ACGCAACAAAAGACCTATGTTTGCCAGGAGTCCTGTTAAATGACGCAGAAAAGAAAGCGTCCAATCGAGCAGAATTCTTAGGTCTTACCTGTGTTGTTGTCCAGGTGATGTGCCTCTAACAACCCTCCCCTTTACCTGAAAAGAAAACTGGTCGTCGCTCAATGGTAAATATTTGGACACAATTTTTGCGCTTACCTGTCTAACCCATTTATCCCAGTCTATAGAAGAAGGCTACAACCGAAATATTTACAAAGTATTCCTTTAGTAAAATAGCATTAATTTACTTATTTAAACACCTGTGATTAAAACCACTTGCTTCAATTAAATATTAAATTCGTGCTCAATTAGTACCTATATAAATATCTTTACTCGTAAATTTACCCCAACTAGTTTATTAAAATAGACATTTTATACATTTTTTACAGATAATTAATACGTAAATCTGCAAAAAAAATTACAGTTACGCCCGTTTAAATTGGATTTTATATCATTAATTTTATAATTTTTTATTTTAAATGCTACAAAAAAAAATCGATAAAAATGTTGTTGGTTTTTCTTTCAGTTAATTTGTTTTTAACTACGGAATTATTACATTAAAAAAATAAAACTTAAGATTAAAATTTGACGTAAAGATTAGTAAATTTATATGGAAATTATAGACTTAAACGAGAAGTAAGAATATTAATATAAACGACAGCGCAAATTTCTCTGAGAAACTTAGAAGTTAATATGTTTAATACAGCAGATGTATGACGTCTAATACAATACGCATATATGGAGAAAAGTGTGGTGTGTACAGTCGCGAGGGTACAGTTAGTATATTACGTCGGTTATAATAGGCGTCGGTACAATGTTTGTCCTGGTCCTTCTCACAATAGCACCTTGTCGATAGTAGAGTCGATGATGGTTCTGGTGTTAGATTGATGGTGTCAAAACTCACTCAGACGTATCGGTCGACACAATCTCCGTTTTGTGGTGGAATTGGTGGAAAAAGTTAGGAGAACTACCACTCTCTCTCTCTCTCCCTTTGCCAATTGTAGACCAAGGTCGATCACAGATTTTAGTGATTCACGGATCACTGAATCGTTGCTAATATATCTTATTGAATGATCGTAATTCGTTTAATTGTTGTTAAAAGATATCTTCTTCCGGAATTTCCGTTTTTTAAGTACATAAATCGCCAATAATTCGAACAGATTAGGCACTTTTGAAGAGTTTAATATGTTCGATANAAGACGAGACTTTTATTTCTTAAAGCATTTTATATTTAATGCACATATTGGAAATAAGTCCATATTCTATAACGTATTTAAATCTAATCGAATATTCTCATTTCATTGGTATTAATTAAGTGCATTTTAGTGCATTATATAATTAATTGCATTAATTATATAATGCACTAAAATGTTATTATTTCCAAATTTAAGAGAAGTTTTAACCTGCAAACTTAACTAATTTTGAAATATTTAAATCTTTATACATTTCATTCATCACAATTTTTTAATATAAAATTATAATTTTAAAATACTACAACAAAATATCTTTTATTGCTTTTTTTCGTTCTTTTCTGTTTTAATTTAAAATAATATAAATTTTAATATAATTTACAAGTAACAGTTTAACTATTTTTCCCATTATTAGTTTAGTAAATAAACTGAAAATATCTGATCAATAAGGAATTAATTATTTAATACAACAGGATTGTTTTTTTTAAATTTTAAATAAATTGATATAATTAAGTACTTTCCAAGTTTCTGAAATTCTCTATTTGAGAAATTAATATGGCTCTAAAATTTTTAAAATTTTATGTAAGATTCTCTGCATTAGGGATGGCGAACTTTTTTGATTCCGCTTGCCATGCTTATTTTTTAAATGTTTATGTGTGTCGATTCGATTAACGATAATCAAAGAATCGAAGAGAATATGCTTTAATTAATTAGAATAGATGTAAATAAGCTGATTAGAAAAAAGGATGATTAAGTGAAAAATCGAAAAGATGATTGAAGAAGAAAGATGATAAACCTATATCCCATGTTACATTACGTGACAGATGGTTTTTCCGACGTGCACGAATGTCATAGGTTCTCCATCCCTGCTCTACATCTTTAATTTAATCCTGATAGATCTTGCTAAGTATATTAAAACCTTTAAACCATTCTCAAGTTTTTAAAGGTTTATTTCAAGCGGTTTCCTAAATATTCAAAGAATATATAAAGGTAAACGAACAAACAATATAGAGAAATAAATTTATTTTATTTTTATTCTATTCATATAGCCTAAGCTAATCTCTCATCGAGAAACGTAATATCGTTCTATCATGTATATTATATAGCCTATATAAACAAATTACTGTAGTAAAAAATAATGACTTAGCATTAATTTACTTAGTTTGTTTACTATTTTATAAATTATGTTGTTATTTTTATTTTTTATTACAAGAATTTGTTTCATTCAATTAACCACGAAATCCTGGCTTAATAATTTTATTTATATTACCAAAAATTTACTCTCAGAAGAAAAAAAATTATCTTAAGTTATATATTTCAAATTAAATAATTCTGTAATGAATAAAATAAATTCTGATAGAAATTTAATAATTTTAACGATACATTTATCGAATATCAACAGCTATTTAGCAAATAGCAACAAGTATTTGGCATATTTTTATATAGAGCTTACTACAATTTTATCTATTACATTTTAAATTAAAGTTAAAAATATTTTGTTTTGTAATTATAGAGTTTGTGATAGAAACATCGTTTTAAAGTATGCGTTTTCAGTAAATAATTCTTAAATATATATTAATTATGCTATTTCGCATGTGTATCCAACTACTTGGAGTGGGTCAAAATCAAAACGCGCCTGTAAAATTCGAAAGAAAAGCAGACGAGCTACAAACGATCCATTGGCTTTGTATCGCTTACATTGTTAAAAGCGATCGAGCCTTAGATACAAAGAAGGGTGTACTGTTGGAGGAAGGCGGAAAGAGGTGGTGAAGAGCTTCGTAGCGGGAGGCAAACGAACTAACCGATCTTTTGACAAGCCCCCGAGCTAGAACAGAGTTATGTAGGTCTACACCACTGAAATATCCCTGGCTTTCTTCGCTGGTTACGACTTAAACGAAGGGGGGAAAGATCAGTTAACAAATTGTTTAAGTCTCTTTTATTTATACTCATCTAAAAATAATCCCTTTAAGTAGTTCTGTGTTTCTTATCTTGATTTTTTCTTTTCCTTTTTTTTTTTTTTTTGGTTCTTTAAATTTATTCATTAAGCAAAGTCTAAAAATTAATATTATATATAGTCTACAATAAAATAGATAGACAATAAAAATACAAAAATTAATTAATAATATAAATTAATTCATAAAGTAATTGGAGATTTTTAGAGTATTGAATTTAATTCGAATTGAAAAAACCTTATAATGTTTTGATTGCGTTTTAATCTTGAACTATCCAACAACAACAACAACAAAAAAACACGCAATTAAAATGAAAAATAATGTTTTATATATAGGCTATATATATAAACTGTAGCTTAATCATGCTAAATTATTCATGATTGCCAATAACCGTTTCAATGGGAAGAAACTATTAGACAGTTTTCGATGTTTCCGAAATGCCGTTTTTGGCTTACTTTCATCAAAATGTAACCTTCAGGTCTTTTCTGTGGGCTCCTCTCTATCTTTGGGACTATGGGCTAAACCATGTTGGATTGCCTCACAGCAGGGTCGTTGCTTCCACTCACTACAATACATCTAATAATAAAAGCATCTGTAAATCGGTGGGACACACTTTGCTCTTGCATCGTGTACTTATTCTTAAATCAAAGCTTTGTTGTCCACATATAAACGTTTGTTTTTATTAAAATGTTTTAAAAATAAAATACGTTAATCAGTTTTTAATTAAAGATTTATAAATTTGAATGTTTTTTCTAATAAAACTAAGCATAATCNTATAAAAGACTTATGTGCATAAATATCAGAGATAGATTTTTGGCTTACTTTCATCGAAATGCAATCTTCATGTCTTTTCTGTAAGCTCCTCTATCTTTGGGACTATGGGCTAAACCACGTGGGATTACCTCCACGTACTTTCTTATTCTTAAATCAAAGCTTTGTTATCCACATAAAAACGTTTATTTTTATTAAAATGTTTTAAAAATAAAATATGTTAATCCGTTTTTAATTAAAGATTTATAAATTTGAATGTTTTTCTAATAAAACTAAGCATAATCTAATTTTTCAGGCAAAATATGATAGAAAAAACAAGCTAATTAAGTGTTCAGATTGTTAAAAAAGTGAAAACTAATTAAAGTTTTGAATAAACTGAAATTATTAATTATATCATATTAGACTATTTAGAAAATAATTATTTGAAAATGTATCGTGTTTAAATAAAGTAAATGAATTTAGAAGAAATAAATGATGTAACTTTAAAAAAACTCGTTCTCATAACTTTTTTTTATTTAAAAAAATTTCTAATAAATTTTAAAATGTTTTCAATGTAATTGTTTTAAAGAAATTTTGAATAAAATTTAAATATACTTGCAATTAAATTATTTTTCATTTAAAATGTAATATAGAATTCACTGTTAAACACTATTGAAAATTATAAATAAAATAAAATAAACTACTTATTTTTGGTTATCAAAATAACAGTTTGAACCATATTTATTAACAATAATAAAATTTTATATAAGAAAGAATATACAAATGATAGCTGAAATTCAAATGATCAACTTAGAAACAATATTATCCGCATTTTTGTTTAAATATAAAAGAATGTAAATGCCATTATTTGTGAGTAATTCTTTAAAAATTTTCCGTAAAATTATGAATATTTGTATACAAAATTTCAATATAAATTTAGGTTTGTCTTTCAAGTTACATGAATTTAAAGACGAGTGAGTTTTTAGACAAAATAAAGAAAAACTCTACAAATTTTTCGTACTAAATTAACAATAAAAAAGACTATTTATTAACAATAATATCATTTTATATAAATGTACATATTTTTTTTAAAAAAATGAATAAAACACGAAAGCAAACGAAACTATCATCAATCATCACCAAGGTCTCCACATTTCAGGTTTTCGGTGGCAAAATTCCGGTTGTATCTTACAAGGAATGTAAATTAAATGCTCTTTTTCTCCGAGTTGGTCTTCTTTCGAACATTCCGAGGCCAAACGACGATCTAAATGATCTAAAAACTTTGCAGTAAGAGACGGATGGGTAATAGAGACGAACTTAGCTACTTCGCCCATACATTGTCTATAACCCGCTTGATATCTTTCATTTTTAGAGTTTTCTCCTGTAAAATATAATAAAAATAAATAAATAAATAAAATATAAATAAATTTGTCAGGTAAATTTTAATCTTTAATAAAGACGTCGACGAAATGATGTAGAAATTATTCACTAATGTGACAACTAATGTGGATAGATTATAAAGAATTGTGACCCGTTGGCGCCTCTAAGAACTAGAAAATTAGAAATAATTTGTTTGTCTGCCATTCAAATATATTGTATTGATATTTCAAAAAACTTCTGGTAAAAATGTCTTTATTATTTTCTTTTATTTATTTTTTAAATCTAAAATTATATTGAAAAAAATGATTTATCAACTACTAAAGTTATGGTTAGTAATTAACGTTTTATTACATACAAATAATAATTTGAAATTAAGTACTGTAAAATTATTTAAATTTAACCTTTCAGAAGAATAATTTTAATAATTTTCGATATATTGATATAGGCCTATATCTTATTCTAATTATTCTAAGTTATCTTAACTTAGACTAAATTTAATTAATTATAAAATTTAATAAAAGTAGGTATACAATTTGTTTTAAAAAGAATTAAAATTTTTCAAATTAAAATTAGAATATAAATTTAAGAATAAAATTCAGATAATTACAGATTTAATCTAATTTTTCTACAAATTTGTCAATATAAAAATGATTAATTAATCATGTTAATTAATCACTTCAATGGCTGAAGCTGCAAGTTTAGGTAATTAAAAGTGATTAAATGTTTAGATTACAGTTAAAAATAATTATATTATTTAGTAAATTAATAATAAAGATGTCAATCTATTTTAAAATTAAATAATTTAAGTAAATTTAGTGATAAATATTAAGGAATTTATCGAAAGAATTTTCATTTGTTTATGATAGAAATCGCTTCGGTTCATTTTTCGAAAATCTAACATATTTATAAATAGTTGAAATTTATTAAAATAAAGAATAAAATATAAAAAATTTAAACTTTAATTTAAAATTTTATATTTAGAAGATAGAGTTTAAATTAATTTAGAAAAAAATCAAAGAATTAAATAATGAATTATAGAGATAATATTATATCATTTGTATATTATTTCATATAACTCAAGTAACAATGTTATATTAAGTCTATGTAGATTTTTTAAATTTATAAATTAAAATATTTATAATATTTCTTTAAAAGTTATATACTTTATTTTAAAATATCTTTATGTAACAATGAAAGAATGTTACTGTATATCTAAACAGTTTACACATCGTGAAATAATTCACTTGTTTCGAGCTATTTAATTCCAAATATTCAAATTAAAATTAATTTTTAATAACTTTATACGAAATTATTTAAAAATCTTTAAACTTAATAAGAAATTTATGATAATTCAGATAAATTCTTACCTGAACTTTTCTCTTGCTTACTGATTTGTCTCAAGTATTTAACGGTCATTTCCAATATATCAGCTTTTTCTAATTTTGAAGATCTTCCATTCTAAAACAATTTTTAAAGTAAGGACTTACATAAATTAAATCGTTTCGTATAAAAGTGTATCTGTGTGACATTTTTCTTTTTTTTTTTTTAGTTAATTTTTCACATTTAAGTTTATTTATTTTTTGTAAGATATTATTACAAAGATGTAATGGAATGTAAAAAATAAAACTTAAATAANAGCAAAGTCTAAAAATTAATATTATATATAGTCTACAATAAAATAGATAGACAATAAAAATACAAAAATTAATTAATAATATAAATTAATTCATAAAGTAATTGGAGATTTTTAGAGTATTGAATTTAATTCGAATTGAAAAAACCTTATAATGTTTTGATTGCGTTTTAATCTTGAACTATCCAACAACAACAACAACAACAAAAAAACACGCAATTAAAATGAAAAATAATGTTTTATATATAGGCTATATATATAAACTGTAGCTTAATCATGCTAAATTATTCATGATTGCCAATAACCGTTTCAATGGGAAGAAACTATTAGACAGTTTTCGATGTTTCCGAAATGCCGTTTTTGGCTTACTTTCATCAAAATGTAACCTTCAGGTCTTTTCTGTGGGCTCCTCTCTATCTTTGGGACTATGGGCTAAACCATGTTGGATTGCCTCACAGCAGGGTCGTTGCTTCCACTCACTACAATACATCTAATAATAAAAGCATCTGTAAATCGGTGGGACACACTTTGCTCTTGCATCGTGTACTTATTCTTAAATCAAAGCTTTGTTGTCCACATATAAACGTTTGTTTTTATTAAAATGTTTTAAAAATAAAATACGTTAATCAGTTTTTAATTAAAGATTTATAAATTTGAATGTTTTTTCTAATAAAACTAAGCATAATCTAATTTTTCAGGCAAAATATGATAGAAAAAACAAGCTAATTAAGTGTTCAGATTGTTAAAAAAGTGAAAACTAATTAAAGTTTTGAATAAACTGAAATTATTAATTATATCATATTAGACTATTTAGAAAATAATTATTTGAAAATGTATCGTGTTTAAATAAAGTAAATGAATTTAGAAGAAATAAATGATGTAACTTTAAAAAAACTCGTTCTCATAACTTTTTTTTATTTAAAAAAATTTTTAATAAATTTTAAAATGTTTTCAATGTAATTGTTTTAAAGAAATTTTGAATAAAATTTAAATATACAGTACTTGCAATTAAATTATTTTTCATTTAAAATGTAATATAGAATTCACTGTTAAACACTATTGAAAATTATAAATAAAATAAAATAAACTACTTATTTTTGGTTATCAAAATAACAGTTTGAACCATATTTATTAACAATAATAAAATTTTATATAAGAAAGAATATACAAATGATAGCTGAAATTCAAATGATCAACTTAGAAACAATATTATCCGCATTTTTGTTTAAATATAAAAGAATGTAAATGCCATTATTTGTGAGTAATTCTTTAAAAATTTTCCGTAAAATTATGAATATTTGTATACAAAATTTCAATATAAATTTAGGTTTGTCTTTCAAGTTACATGAATTTAAAGACGAGTGAGTTTTTAGACAAAATAAAGAAAAACTCTACAAATTTTTCGTACTAAATTAACAATAAAAAAGACTATTTATTAACAATAATATCATTTTATATAAATGTACATATTTTTTTTAAAAAAATGAATAAAACACGAAAGCAAACGAAACTATCATCAATCATCACCAAGGTCTCCACATTTCAGGTTTTCGGTGGCAAAATTCCGGTTGTATCTTACAAGGAATGTAAATTAAATGCTCTTTTTCTCCGAGTTGGTCTTCTTTCGAACATTCCGAGGCCAAACGACGATCTAAATGATCTAAAAACTTTGCAGTAAGAGACGGATGGGTAATAGAGACGAACTTAGCTACTTCGCCCATACATTGTCTATAACCCGCTTGATATCTTTCATTTTTAGAGTTTTCTCCTGTAAAATATAATAAAAATAAATAAATAAATAAAATATAAATAAATTTGTCAGGTAAATTTTAATCTTTAATAAAGACGTCGACGAAATGATGTAGAAATTATTCACTAATGTGACAACTAATGTGGATAGATTATAAAGAATTGTGACCCGTTGGCGCCTCTAAGAACTAGAAAATTAGAAATAATTTGTTTGTCTGCCATTCAAATATATTGTATTGATATTTCAAAAAACTTCTGGTAAAAATGTCTTTATTATTTTCTTTTATTTATTTTTTAAATCTAAAATTATATTGAAAAAAATGATTTATCAACTACTAAAGTTATGGTTAGTAATTAACGTTTTATTACATACAAATAATAATTTGAAATTAAGTACTGTAAAATTATTTAAATTTAACCTTTCAGAAGAATAATTTTAATAATTTTCGATATATTGATATAGGCCTATATCTTATTGTAATTATTCTAAGTTATCTTAACTTAGACTAAATTTAATTAATTATAAAATTTAATAAAAGTAGGTATACAATTTGTTTTAAAAAGAATTAAAATTTTTCAAATTAAAATTAGAATATAAATTTAAGAATAAAATTCAGATAATTACAGATTTAATCTAATTTTTCTACAAATTTGTCAATATAAAAATGATTAATTAATCATGTTAATTAATCACTTCAATGGCTGAAGCTGCAAGTTTAGGTAATTAAAAGTGATTAAATGTTTAGATTACAGTTAAAAATAATTATATTATTTAGTAAATTAATAATAAAGATGTCAATCTATTTTAAAATTAAATAATTTAAGTAAATTTAGTGATAAATATTAAGGAATTTATCGAAAGAATTTTCATTTGTTTATGATAGAAATCGCTTCGGTTCATTTTTCGAAAATCTAACATATTTATAAATAGTTGAAATTTATTAAAATAAAGAATAAAATATAAAAAATTTAAACTTTAATTTAAAATTTTATATTTAGAAGATAGAGTTTAAATTAATTTAGAAAAAAATCAAAGAATTAAATAATGAATTATAGAGATAATATTATATCATTTGTATATTATTTCATATAACTCAAGTAACAATGTTATATTAAGTCTATGTAGATTTTTTAAATTTATAAATTAAAATATTTATAATATTTCTTTAAAAGTTATATACTTTATTTTAAAATATCTTTATGTAACAATGAAAGAATGTTACTGTATATCTAAACAGTTTACACATCGTGAAATAATTCACTTGTTTCGAGCTATTTAATTCCAAATATTCAAATTAAAATTAATTTTTAATAACTTTATACGAAATTATTTAAAAATCTTTAAACTTAATAAGAAATTTATGATAATTCAGATAAATTCTTACCTGAACTTTTCTCTTGCTTACTGATTTGTCTCAAGTATTTAACGGTCATTTCCAATATATCAGCTTTTTCTAATTTTGAAGATCTTCCATTCTAAAACAATTTTTAAAGTAAGGACTTACATAAATTAAATCGTTTCGTATAAAAGTGTATCTGTGTGACATTTTTCTTTTTTTTTTTTTAGTTAATTTTTCACATTTAAGTTTATTTATTTTTTGTAAGATATTATTACAAAGATGTAATGGAATGTAAAAAATAAAACTTAAATAACTAATCAAAAAAATCAAACTAATTAAGTTAAATAACTAATCAAACTTACGTCTAAATTTTTATCTCCTTCTGTAGCTAACAAAAATCTTTTAAGTTCAGTTAAACAATGATTAATTCGTGCTCTCCTACGCTTCTCCATAAGAGGTTTTGTTACCTAATTAGAATTATAACAAATTATAGATACTTATTAACCTTATCTTAATAAAACTTTAAAATTCTATCGTAAGAAAATTGATTTACCTTTCTTCTTTGGGCTGCTGTACTTTCTTCTTTTTGGGCAGCCATGTCCTTCCTAACTGTCCAGATGTTTGAAGGGTCTGACCACGTGACAAAACTTAAACCATGGGTCTCTCGGAGATCACGTGACAAATCCAACGTGTCACCACTGATTGGTCACTCAGGGTAGGGAGGGTAAGAAGGAGAGAGAGAGAGTGGCACGCGCTTCCCGGACGAATTTTCGTAGGAAGGTTATTATGTTCGGGGTTTATTGTGCCCCAGTCCAAACTGCACAACAATAGTTTGGCGGTCCTACAACAGTTATCTTCGGAGCTGATGCAGAAAAGAGGAACCCACACTATCATTGATCACGCATTAACAGATCTGCTTTGTTGATGAGCAGTTTGAAGTTTTATTAAAATACGCCTTTTACTAGAATTACTCTCGCTAATCTAATTTTTTTTATTACATTTTAATCACCAATATATATTTTAGTGTTATAAATGATTTAAGTGTTTAACAGATATAGGCTCAGATTGTTCACCAGTTCTACTAACAATGTTCCCATTAGTATATAGACTCCCACAATTTCCATAAATACAGTAGAGTGTCGTTTATCCAGTCGGCAAATTTAAATTTTCGCTAGTGCTGTGGCACTGCAATCTTTGGCTATATCTTGGGCTACTGCAATATTTTTTTTGTTGTTGTGTGTGTTTTAGCTGGCAGCACTGGCACTTTTGTGTGGTGTTTTTCTAAGGACTGTGTGGTGCTGAATCGAACGTTTTTGATACTAGATCAACTTTTAAAGTATATTTTTTTTAGTTTTTATATTTTTCAATATATTTATTTTGTTTGTACAAAATAAAGAAATAAGTTTTAACGATACAATAGCCATGATTATTATTTTAAAAAGTTTACATCAGGCTTAACATCGACGAAAATTCAACTCAAAGCGACACACAATAGAGAAAAATTTCAACACGGGATAGGTTAATATATTTTTTCGTACATAATTGGTTATCCGAACAACCCCAGTCCCCAATTGANTAATTACATATTAATGCGATAGAAAAATATCAATTATCGATTAGCTTCACTTGGGTGGGCTAAAATTCTAACAGGAGTCATAATCGAGGAGGTCGGAAAAAAAACATTAAAAAAAAATAATAAAAGCAGACCACCCGAACTATGCACAATAACTTCAGTTGATATGCGTTAGGAGAAAGGAGCCTCCTAACAACTGTTCTTTAATGACAGGTTCAAATGGTGGTGGGTCGTTTGTCGCGTGGCTAATCCGGATTTGGCTCGTTTGTCTGGAGCCTATGGGATTACTTTATCCCGTTTTAATTTCTTAACTACGATCTATTAACGGCAAAATTTCTCATATATTTACTCTTTGTGTTTATCTTTTCACTTTGATTTAGTAATAGTTTGATAATTAGAAAACACAAAATTATATCTCTAATTAATTTCATGTCAAATATAAAATTGTCCCTGGAAGTGCAAATATGTAAAATATATACTATATACATGCTTCAAAGTGTAACTAAATACCATTAATTATTTAATAATATAAAACATAACAATTTACATTATTTCCATAGAATGTAATACGCAGATTATTTTTAGTGTTTATATAACATTTGATATTTCTTTATTTTAGACTATAAATTTTAGAATATGACTTATACTATATTAACTAGATTATATGCTACGTTATATTTATCGTTGGTACAGACTTAAAATCTACAGGTACATTTAATTTCTTTAAGGCATTTGCATTAGTAAACTAAAACCTTTACATTTTTAAACATTTTATGTCATTTTGTTCTAATTGTAAAAGTTTTAATAATAAAAATTAATTAAGCAGAAATGCTATTATCGAAGATAACGTACAATACATATACAGATCATTAACATGAGTTAATTTTGATAAAAATTCTCATTAGCATCATTTATAATTTTCCTCTATAAGAATCTAATCGTGAAAATAATAACATTAAAATGGTATTAGATTGTCTGATTTAAAAAGCATTTGTAAAGATATTTCTTCTAATAACCTAATTATAAAAAAGTTATTTAGGTTATTGTCGTTGATATAAATTAATAAATATTAAACCTTTTCATATTTAAAGTTAAATTATATAAAAATTTTAGTAAGAAAAATGTATTATCTTCGTTAAGAATAAAATATGTCTGAGTAATTTGCAGAGTCTGTTTAACGCTAGTAATTATTACTGTTATTACTTAATAATTGCCTCTTAAATGTATTATAAATATTATCAAAATATCTTTAAAACTTTTTATTTGATGGGAAAGAACATGTTTAGCACTAGGCCTATAAGTAAAAATACGAGTTTTATTATATTCTAATACATTTCCAGTTTTAAAATTCTCACATATTTAATTTAAAATATTAACTTATGTTTCTAATAAAATTAAATTGCAATTAAGTTCATTATAGCTTCAGTAATTTTATGCATTAGTTATTTCATTTATCATTACAGACTATCTAATAAGTATTTAAATATTCACTATAAAATATAAAATCTGTTGAAAAAAAGACATGGGAATTTTGTGGATTTACCCCTTCCATATGGAAAGAATTAAAAACTTGAATTAAATAGTAGGCTATATTGTACATAACACATTTATTTTGTATCCGTCAGTTCCTCCTTAGTCTATTGTACTGTGTTACTCTATATTGGTATATAGAATACTTATACAGTATATCTAAATACTGTACTATACGCCTATAGTATAAGGTGTATATGTTATATACCTACATGAATGAACTACGTTATGAAGTTATGAGGAAATAATGTATTTTTAAATGCCTTGGTCTGCTGTTAAATGACCCCAAAATACGCTAAAGAGAAGAAAGTTTTAATTATTGATAATTTAATTTTTAAAATATTTTCTATAAATATATTTAGTCAAAAATTATGTTCAATCAACTCTATACTATATCTGTTGTGTTATAATTAAATAAGCGAATTTAGACTGTAAACTCGTTCATCAGACATGTAAAAGATATACAGTTATTTCTGAATGGTCTCAGAATGGTCAATAATATTGATAAAGATGCTTTTATTTTCCATTTTCTTTCATTTAATCTACCTTAGAGCCCTATTTTTGGCAATGAAAATAATGGTAATAGTGTTAATGAAGCCAGAACTTTACAGCATAAATGTGAAAATATTAATGATATATTGCAATGTTAAACCAATAGATAGTCATTTTAATCAATAACTATTTACATAAATGTCTCTATATCTCTGATTAATCTATTATGTATTAAGTTAATAATTTAAGATTTTTTTTTTGTTGTTAAATTAATCCATAAACATGGCTACTTCTCAGAAGAGAGCACACTTTTCTAAGATTTAAGCTATTATCAGAAGTGGTAGTCCTGAAGCATGCTTAATTTTAAAAAATCGAGCGTAACCTTTATCAGATAAGCACTCATTAGACTACTAATCACATTGGTTTAACTTACCTAACAGGTATTTTTTATGCTAAAAATTTTAATAGTAGTTTTAAATTAAAAATTAGGATAGGTATTTAAAATAAAAAGTATCGATTTTGATTATATATATATAATCAAAATCGATACTTTGTTAAATAAATTGAATAAGTAAGTTAGAAAAGAAAATAAAGCAACTCAAAACTTTCGAAATGAACTTAAATTATGCTATTAAAATAAAAATTTTAAGTGCTTTCGCTAATTTCGTCACGGGTGGCTCTTGATTAATTTGCTTGTCTTTTCTATTATGCAGATCACATCGAAGCAAAGAAGGTTTTCCCTTTTAATTACATATTAATGCGATAGAAAAATATCAATTATCGATTAGCTTCACTTGGGTGGGCTAAAATTCTAACAGGAGTCATAATCGAGGAGGTCGGAAAAAAAACATTAAAAAAAAATAATAAAAGCAGACCACCCGAACTATGCACAATAACTTCAGTTGATATGCGTTAGGAGAAAGGAGCCTCCTAACAACTGTTCTTTAATGACAGGTTCAAATGTGGTGGGTCGTTTGTCGCGTGGCTAATCCGGATTTGGCTCGTTTGTCTGGAGCCTATGGGATTACTTTATCCCGTTTTAATTTCTTAACTACGATCTATTAACGGCAAAATTTCTCATATATTTACTCTTTGTGTTTATCTTTTCACTTTGATTTAGTAATAGTTTGATAATTAGAAAACACAAAATTATATCTCTAATTAATTTCATGTCAAATATAAAATTGTCCCTGGAAGTGCAAATATGTAAAATATATACTATATACATGCTTCAAAGTGTAACTAAATACCATTAATTATTTAATAATATAAAACATAACAATTTACATTATTTCCATAGAATGTAATACGCAGATTATTTTTAGTGTTTATATAACATTTGATATTTCTTTATTTTAGACTATAAATTTTAGAATATGACTTATACTATATTAACTAGATTATATGCTACGTTATATTTATCGTTGGTACAGACTTAAAATCTACAGGTACATTTAATTTCTTTAAGGCATTTGCATTAGTAAACTAAAACCTTTACATTTTTAAACATTTTATGTCATTTTGTTCTAATTGTAAAAGTTTTAATAATAAAAATTCATTAAGCAGAAATGCTATTATCGAAGATAACGTACAATACATATACAGATCATTAACATGAGTTAATTTTGATAAAAATTCTCATTAGCATCATTTATAATTTTCCTCTATAAGAATCTAATCGTGAAAATAATAACATTAAAATGGTATTAGATTGTCTGATTTAAAAAGCATTTGTAAAGATATTTCTTCTAATANATAAACATTTTTTTTTTTTTTGCATTCGTTACTGTTTTTATACCGATTTCTGTTGAAACAGTTTCATTAAGGTAAATCTAAATAGTTTATTTTTCTTATCAATACTGTACTACAACAAAGGAAAAAACTTGTTTTGCATTTAAGATTATTTCAACTTTTATGCATATTTCAATGAATTTCTACATTTAGTAACGATTTATCTAAAACAGATTTGTACTTTGTAAAAAGTTTTCAATTTTTTATCATTCCAGATAAAT